TGCAAAAAAAGCTTTCAGCGCGTGATTTGCAGAATCAGATATGTATATAAATTTACATTAAAAAATTTTAAATATTAAGAAAATTTAAATATTAAGATCTGTTTTGATTGAATATAGGATTTCTCTTATTTAATTAAAAATAATAATTATGTATATGTATATACCAATAGCAGGACGAAAAATGCCGACCGGCAGATCACCAACTTGCTTCCTGATCACATTCTCGGCAACTGCTTTCGTAAAAGTATAGGTATTAGGCCATTTTCCTAATAATCTGTAAAGATTAGAATATGAAGTTCTCTCTCCGTGTGCACTAAAAGAATTTAATCGAAAATATTTCACTTACTGCGGAGTGATATCTTCTGCCAATTTATCTTCGACGCATTCAATCAATGCAATTAATTTATCGGAATCTATTGGCGGATCATAAAACTTTTCTTCGATTACACTTTGTGGACAATTTGCATACGCAGTTGATACGTGTATAAAAGACTGAAAAATTGCATTAAATTGCGTCGTTTACACAAATAGATATGATTTATCATAAATGCATACGATATGAGAAAACACAACTAATAATAATTCCTAACTCTGCTCTGGTGAAAAATTCTGATATTTTATAAGATTTAAAAAAATATTTAATATTTTTAATCTATGATTTTTGAAGAAATATCTTACATTTCTTCAGATTTTGAAAGTTTTTTTTGAGAGTTATGAAAGGAGAACTCTAAGAAAATATTAATCTTAAAATATTATATATTTCAAAATTATGTGTATAGAATTCATACGCGTGCGTGCATACACATCTGAAAATTATTCTAATTTGTATAAAAAAATTTAAGATATTATTTAAAAAGTATAAACTTTATACAAAAATTACGTTCTGAAAAATTTCGAATTGTACAGAAATTGCGAAAAATTATATGAGAATTATAAGAAAAGTTTTCATCAGAGCGTTATTTGAATTAGAATTAAAAATAATATTATTTTAAAGTAAGTCGATCAATTGAGTAAAAAATATTTCATTATAGTTTTTTGTTTCTTGAATATCTGATGTATGATACCTTCAAATTTGTGATCTCCTTGCAGAGATTTACAACGTCTCTTGTACTTCTGACGTTAATGGGCACTGCTAATTTCAATTTCTCGTCAAATCTAACCGTAGCTGCGACATGGAAAACAATCGAAACTTCCCGGATAAGAGTGGCCCGATCTTGCGCAGATATTCCGAGATTCAGTTGACTGCAGTCTCCCGCTATAGCAACGATCTGATGTCGGAACTTGGGCTGTTCGTCTCTAAGTTTTGAAAATACCTGCGTAAATTGAAGTGAACCCATCAATTAAATTTAGAAAGCCATTATTTTATTAATATCGATTCAATAAGATAATAAAAATATTGAAAATAATCTTCTAATTTCAAAAAAACGCTGATGTCAAAGTGATATTCATTGATGACGCATGTATTATACGTGGAAATTTGTTATGAGATATAGATAATTAAGATGTTTGATTTATTTTCTCAAATTATAATATTTTAACATTACGAATTTGAATAAAAATTAAATCTGTTTATCAAGGCAAAATTTAAACGATTCAAAATATAACTATTAAAAAATTTATCAAATATGATAAGGGTTTGCTTGTTTCTAAAGTTTAAAATTTAAAGACTCACTGTGTCATCAAAGATCTCTTCGGTACGTTGGTGTACGTCTTTGCCTTTCTTCGGACGTACTAGTAAGTAAATTGATGTCACTCCAGGACACGTTCTGAGGAGCTTTTCGATGAGCAGCTTACCCATGAAACCGGTGCCGCCGGTGATGAAAATACTTTGACCATTGTAAAATTCTTGGATCGGCGATAGCTTCTCATTGACCGGTGAATTCTCTGTTGGCGAGTCTGGTATGCAATCCGACTCAACGATAGTTACCTCCTGACCATCGATTCGATCCAAGAGCACTTCCACCATCTCTTCTACGGGTTTGCACCTATAAGGAAGGAGCCACGGTTGTTTCTATCGATTCAATTCTTTATATCCAATTCGTATTCGCGGTTTGGCACATTACGAATCAATGTGCGCCGAATGACTCTTCCTTTTTTGTGAGTTGTCTTGATTGATTAGTCGATTTGCGTTTGCGTCGATCGCGTCTTGCTTCGTTCATTATCACCTGTACGTGGACAAGGTGAATTCGCGATCGTCAACATCGTTCACGTTGACAGATGGATACGTGCACCATGGTGAAAATTATTAGTGAGAGATTGTGTTATTTCTGTTTATGAAAAGTTTTATCACAACTGTTACACTGTTTATGAAAAATTTTACTGATGATTGCACTGTTTGAAAGCACGTTGCAAAAACCTGGCAAACATCTGCTGATTAAATATTTTACAAACTCTTAGAAAATTATAATGGAAATGTTTGAGACTATGTTAAATGCTACTGAAACATTCCGTAAGAAATGCCATAAGAAATCAAAACATTGATTGAAAATTTGATTTCGACATACACATCAAAACAGTTTCACATTTTCTAAACTTTCTATTCATAAGTAGGAATCATTCTAGGATATCAAAATAATTCAAGTAGAGTTTTCGAAATTTTTGAAAAACATGAAATTTTTTTTGTACGAATATAAATTAATTGATCGTCGATTTAATAATAATGTTATCTTAAAAACTTATCTTAAAAACCTGATATATAGCGAAAAATATCACACTTCAGCCGGAACTTTTCGAATTCCATCGTTTTTCGCGAAAAAAATGTGAGATTTTTTTTATAAAATTATTGACGCTTTGAAATTTTTAGGATTGCTTCATAATTGAAATGATAATATGAAATTTTTAGAAAATTTTTGAATTAGTGAATTAATGATGAAAAATGTTCATAAAAATTGTAAATAAATGGAGAATTTGTTTATATGAAAATGATAAATTAACAATAACCCGATAGAACAATTTAAGGATTTCTTTAGAATCAGATTTTTAATCTCGGAAAATATTAAATTTTTTTTATACAACTAATAGTTTCGATAATTATTTAAATGTTCGCATGAGTGATGCTTTTTAAAAATTTATGCAACTTACAAACATGAATAATTTCTCAAAAAAATCTCACACTTTTCTCGCAAAATACATATCAAATGATTTTAACGAAATCATCGAAATATCTCGATTGATTACTGTTCTCTGATTTTGTTGCTCGCAATTCCCGAGATATTTTAAAAATTTAAGATATTTCGAGAATTAACAATTTATAGGTGGTGCTGACTCAGGGTTAGGGGTTTTCGAAGGTTGGGGGGATGAAGCAACAATATCGGGAAGTGAGTACTAGCAACAAATTAGCAACAAAAAAGCACTAAATTTCTATGCAACTTTTATTCGATTGTGCTGAAGTGTCAGCTTAATAGACGCTTATAAAAAAAAAATCTTATATTTTTTCGCGAAAAACGTGTCTCATATTATTATCTGTACATATGTTAGCATATTTAACAAAAAATAAAATGATGTTTCAAAGGTGCCCGATTTGAGGTGGAATACTTCATAGATTGTAAGTATTATATATACTAATAAAATCATTTAAGGAGAAAATATGTAAAATATTAACTTACTTTCAATAGTACGAATTAGTATTCAGTTAATTATTTAAATTTAATTATTTAAATTCAGTTGTGTTAATTTTTGTTCTTGTATTGTTTTTTTTTAAGGTCCAGCCAGCTTAACTATTAAATTAGCAGTGCCACTATTTTCTTGGAAATGACACTCAACATAGAATTGTATTTGTACAGAATAATACAAATTCAATTGTATTGATTTCTGATATTGTTTTTCTTTTTTTTTCTTTTATTTTAAATTGGTCCTTACCAGCTTAATATTAGTACCGCCACGATTTTTTTTCGAAATAGCACAAAGTACAAAATTATCAATAATAGTACAATTTAGTTCAAAATGAGTACTAAAAATTCTAATAAGTCTGATTTGATTCTGCTGATTTGGTCCTGCTAGCTTTAGAGAGATAGTTTTTTTTTTTAGGCGACATGCGATAAACAATATCAATTGATGAGTTTGAATCCGGATTCGAAATTTCAGCTGAAGTGATATACGTTTTCTGCAATAAGTTGTATTTACAGGTTGCTGGTAATATTATTATTAAATGATTATTAAATCGAATTATTAATTTAATTGTGAGGTTATTATTTTATTTTTTAATTATATATGTAATTATATATATAA